TGTTTGCCATGAACAGACAGTACTTCAATGAGCTTGGACAGTACGACAGTGGCATGGATATCTGGGGAGGAGAAAATTTGGAAATATCATTTCGGGTAATTTTGATTTTGTGTTCAGTTACTAACTGTGGCGTGAAACGTTGTTGTTGTTGTACATCTGTTTTCTGTGAGTGCTCCTTGGCTTTCTTCACGGACACAGTCCCGAGTTAGGGCTGCTTTACCAGAGCCTGTGGTATGGACAGGATCTGTTCAGGGATGCAGAAGCGCTCGGAAGGCCTTTGTCCTCAGAGGGCTGGGTGTGGCCCGAGTGAGCCTCCTGGGGACTGGAGTTCCACTCTTCATCAGCTTGCATGTCACTGTTGCTGACAGGCACATGTGGTGGTGGGGTCCCATCCCTTCTGGAGGTTCGAGGCTCCCATCTCACTGTGTCCGTAGCTGGACCTGCCATCACCTCTAGCTGGAGTCCTCCCACCTGAGGGGAAATTCCACATTCTCTTCTGAAAGGGCACGGTGTGGCTGGGTCTGTGGCCTGGGGGACCTTGTGGTAAGACTGTTGTGGGGACAGGAAGGGGGATGGAGGGAGAACTGAGGCCTCCCATCTCCTGGTGCAGTCAGCAGAGCCCTGGAGGATAAACCACTGTATGGACGAGTGCATCATTTTGTATTTTTGCAGATATATTGACTGCATGTTTTTTAAGTTTTTTCCTCCATAATTTAAAAATTTTAAGATTAAAGGCAAAGGCATATAGGTTACCATTAGTTGCAACTTATTTTTTTTAAAATAGTAATTAAATAATTCACATAATCAGGGGCAAAATTTAGACCAGAACTAAGGTCTTTTGACTCTTAATCCATAGGATTTCTTTTAAAACATATATGTTTTATAATAAAGTACCTAGGAAGTTGGAAGACCAGTTAATCAGCATTCCTGGTCCCTAAGTTTCTGAGATCAAGTTCTTTGACCTGGTAAAAGCAGCAAAGTCTGGTGAGCATCTTTCATATACAGCAAAAATAATATTACATTGCTTTAGCATTTTTAGTACACTTTTAGTGCATTTTAGGAAGGTGTGATTTTTTTTTTAAAATGTCCCTCTGATTTTTTTCTTTGAATATTTCTATTAAGATGAAGCAGCTTGCAAAGTTATAGACCTATTTAATGAAGATGTATTGTTTGAACACTCGTACAGTGGTTCTGCAGCACTGAGCAGTGTTTAAYGCACACTTTGCTTCTGGCCAGATCTGGATGTGTGGCGGTAAGCTCTTCATCATCCCTTGCTCCAGAGTAGGACACATTTTCCGAAAAAGGCGGCCCTACGGGTCTCCTGAAGGCC